CCCCCCCCCCCCCCCCCCCCCCAAAAAAAAAGACAAAAAAAGAAAAAAAGAAAAAAAAAGCAGCAGCATTAGCATCCACCTCACATTATCCGCCTGACATGACTGACCTCAAAGTAGACCCAGAATGGGATTGGCCCATTTTTCAGTCCAAGCGTTCTATTCGGGTGAAGACGGTAGTGCAAGGAATATGAGCGAGAGCGATAGACAGAAATACAAATTGCAAAATCACGCAGAAGTACAGATAGTCATGTACGAAGCAGAGAGATCAAATGAACCAAGATTCCATCCAAATAAGAGCAAACAGCGAACTCGTGCGCCAATGTTATCGCCCTCAGGCCCCACCAACACAGTATCCAATGTCGCTCATCTCTGTCTGGCGCCCAGCACCCAGCCTACTCTGATGAGCCTATCTAGTAGCCTATCTACATTCGTGCAACAGGATCGCATCCGACGTTGAAGACCAATGTACATGACGTCAACACCAATGCCAACCTCCCACATACACCAGGTACGTTCTCACTCCTCCCCTCATCAGACCTTGACCACCCACTCATGCGCCTCCTTCCCGAGGACCACCTTCGCCCATCGCCCTCATGCGCCCCTGCGGCCCGGCTATGGCTGCCGTGCGGCCGCTGCCCTGCGGCGCCCCTCTCACCTCATATCGCCCGCGTGCGCCCCAGCCAGCAGCGCACATGCAGACACTTGCGAAGCAGCGCAGGAGCGTGTCCGCATTGCCTGCCTAGGCCAGAATACCCAGCCTCTGGCCAGCGACCTTCCTATATGGAAGTCGTGGCCTCTGTTTGGCTGTGGGCCTGGCTGAGGAAGCTTCCAGTACCTTCCAGTCGGGCCCCAGTGTCTGCGTCCAGGCTCTGTTCGACAGTTGGGGCCTGGGCCCTTTCTGGTTGGGCACGTCCAGGGAGCCTCCAGGCTCCAAGTGTTTGCCGTCTTCTCATTGGCTCGTTGGGCCTCTGTGACGACAATGCTGCTTTCTGATTCGCCTGCGGCCACTTCGAGATGTGTCGGCCTCACACTGCGTGTGCCCAGGGCGCAACCACCTGCATGCTGGGCGCAACTGCTGTTTCTGGAAGGAGCCCAGGGAGAGGCTCATGTTGCACTTCACCCAACTGGCATGCTGCAACTGTCTGATACCCTCTTTGGAAAATGCTGAGATAAGGGCCTCTTATGGATATTCAGGCCCGCCTTCACTTAGGGCGGGCACGAGGCTTGCTGGGGGCCACAGCCCAGTTCATGTGCATGTTGGCTAGGGCCCCATGAGGGCATATTCCTCACACTGGTCTCAATGGCCATCAAATACATTCACCGGAGTCCAAGTAATATCCTCCCTGCCCTTCAATACTGCTTCTGCTGAAAGTAATCTGATGGGTATACCGGGCCTTTCCCACTCTTTCCAACCCGTTTTCATTTCCTTTTTTTTTTTTTTTAACCTCATGCTGCCTACCTACCTAGTACGTGTCTAAGCACAGCAACCCAAAAAAAAAAAAAAAAAAAAAAAAGCACAGCAACCCATGTCTAAGCACAGGAGGAAGGGCCAACCAAAGACCCAGGAACCAACCCCCCGACAGGAATCATCGTTTTCACTTTCTGCAAATGGCCCTTCTGATCGTTTTCACTTTCCGCAAATGGCCATTCCGAATTCACATCCTTCAGCAACAGCAGGACCCACCTGCGCACTTCGCCGCCGGGGTGCTCTTGGCCTCCTTTGCCAAAAAAAGGGCCCAGCCGTCAGCACCCCCCGCTATGGCATTCTCGCCACAGAAGATACCCTTGTGTGACCCCTTCTCGGTGATGGAGAAGTGTGAACCATATCGAGAGGAGAGAAGGAGAGACGCCGTGAGCCCGTCGATTGGAGTCGGCTTCCCCTTCGCAAAGGCGTTCTTCATGTCCAGACTAAAAGACTCTTCATATCCAGGAATGGCCCCATCGTACGTCGCAGTCTGCAGTGGGCCAAGGGAGGGAAAAAGCAACAGGAGAAGAAATGAAAGGTCAGGCAACAAGAAGATGCACACATTGAAGACCAATCAATGTCAAGCAAGAGAGCAACATCTTCATGGAAGAAGCCTTCAGAAAAGGACAAAGCTGATTTACTACTACAAAAATTGTATTGGTGTTAATTAAACTTAATTTGTTAAAGGTTAAGTCGTAAGGAAATTGGTTGAATGGACCTGGTCCAGTGCAGGGGGGTTTTTCTTTTCCTCGCCCTTTTTTTTTCTTTTTTTTTTCACCACCACTACCCTTCAGGCTGGGAGGCTAAGTCATAAAAAAAAAGTAACCTATAACGCATTCTTCGGAGGCCAGCGGAGGCTGGGCGCTATCGGACCACAAAGGCTGGCAGCGCCAGCCAAATGAAACAAAAACGCTGCGCTGGCGCTTCGGCCCCACGCTGGCGTGCAGGTCGACCTTGCCTCGGCAAAAAGAGGCTCGGAGGTAGGGCGGCAGTCTAGACTCTAGAAATATATTGACCAGTGACCGGCTCAACCTTTTTTTTTTTTTTTTTTTTTTAAATGAATTTCAAGGCTCCAATCTAATTACAGATGCTTATTATTACAGAAATTGCAGATTATATCAATTTATATGCCATGATTATTGGCCATTGAGCTTCTGTTATGACAGGTACATTGACAACTTAGTATGTTTCTTGTACGTATCCTGTCATTTTGAGGATCTGAACCCTGATAGGCATCTTTTCTTTTTTTTTTCCTATTTTTTTTTTAAGGGGCCGGGGGTGGGGGTGGGGGGGGGGGGGGGGGGGGGGGGGAACTGTGGCTGTGACACACTTTTAGTTTGAAATAGGCAAGAAAAGACAAAGTGGCGTAGGTGTCATGCTGTGAGTTTCAAACTGTTCAAGTGTAGCGGGGGTCTAAAACTGCACCAGTCATTACCCGCAGTGGCACTTGGCAGATTTAGGGGGGTGGCCTTTTTTGGTCCATTAAATTTCGGGAACTGCTAAAGTTGCCTAGTATTCTGAAGTTTGGCTGTGCCTCCGAGCCATGGATGTCAGCTGAGATGATACCGACTGCCTACAAATGAAACCAGAGAATTCTTTATTGGGTGTGTCCCAACCAGCTACCTAGTAGGACCAGATCAGGCCTCCTTTTCCCCACCACATACTTGACGCCATGCCTGGTGACGACTCGGCCCCACTTTGCCAGATCTCTCTACGGTGCGCCATGCTCCCGCATAGCTACGGCTTACAGGTTGGCACAACTCAACCCCAGCAAACCAACCAGCCTCGCCCTGGCGTAGGCCAACCTTAGGCCACTGAAAGTGACAGCAACAGCTTCTGAATCCAGCAGCTCAGGCATGTGACCTACTGAGGTACGTGACTTAAGGGGTCAGGGAGCTATCCACAAGCTCATTCAAAATCCTTCCAAGGTTTGGAACTGTTTAAGGGGAAAGACAATTGGCATACTCTCTCTTTCTCTCTCTCTCTCTCTCTCTCTCTCTCTCTCTCTCTCTCTCTCTCTCTCTCTCTCTCTCACACACACACACACACACACACACAC